GGGGGGGATTTGTGGTTAGGATAAGAATATACCTAATCACCGTGCTTAATCAAATATCGTAATCTTAATGCATTCTTAATAGATTGATTTTATATGACTATAGGCGTTAATCTATTTTGAATAGGCGAGTAGTACTTCGAGAGAAGGCTATGAGAGAAATGATCGATTAATTAGCAACCATGAGTGAATTATATGAGAGGGAGAGTTAACTAGAACACAATAGGATTGGTGAATCGATCACAACCCTGGAATATTTGTCTCTATTGAATACATAACAATCATTTTACTGCTCGATAATTTAGTTATTACTTAGAATTATAGTTTAGTATAATCACATTCTTGAACTCGAATTTAGTTTGACTGAATAACAATATTGGTGAATTAGTGGGTAGTTGATACAAGTCTCTGTGGGTTCGACACTCGACTTATCATTTTATTGCTTGTACGTATACTTGCGTGTGCGTTTGGGAGCAACAAGTTTTTGTCGCCATTACCGTGGACTTAAAAATTAGCTACTTGACTGACTTAAGTTTTTATTAGTTATTTGTTCAAGTTTTAATTTTTAGTTTACCTTGTTTGTGTTAACACGGGCTCTTCTCTTGAATGCGGAGGAGTAGAAGCGCAAACAATCTCCTTCCGCTTTATCCTGAAATTGAACGAACACTTCAAAGAGTGAGGAGTGAAGTCGAAGCTAGAACTAGAATAGAAAGAGAGTTGGACATCGTAGCTCAACCACATCCAATCAAGATGGCATGTAATGAAGAACGTGCGGTGATAGAAGCCGCAAGGCCCAATCTTGCTAATATGACTCAGGCTATTATGAAGCCTGAGATCATATGGCATTTTGAACTCAAACAATACATGGTACATCTGATTCAGTCCACGGGGCAATATGTGGGTATATCTCATGAAAATCCATAGAGGCACATTCAGAATTTCTTAGAAATTACAGACACTTACAATTATCCGAACGTTTTCAAGGACTATGTTAGGCTGACACTTTTCCCCTTTTTACTGTTGGGGGAAGCTAAGGAATGGTTGCAAAAGGAGCCTGCGAACTCAATCCACACTTGGGATGATCTAGTAAGGAAATTCTTAATCAAGTTTTTCCCCACTAAGAAGACAAAGTAGCTGAGGAGTCAGATTCTTGAGTTCCAGTAGCGGGATGGCGGGACACTTCGTCAAGCTTGGGAAAGATAGAAGAAGCTACTCAGAGACTGCCCGCATCATTGTCAGACTGATGAGGTATTGGGTAACACTTTTGTTGATGGGCTAGATGAGGCATCAAAAATGAATCTTGATTTAGCTTGTGGAGGTAGTTGCATGGCGAGGCCGTACAGTGAAATCCAACTCTTGCTAAATAACTTCACTGCTAATGACCATAATTGGCAAAGAGATGGGGACTCACAAAGAGCAATTAAACAGAAAGCAGCTGGGTTGATTGAGCTTGATGACTTCTCAGCCATGAGATTTGATATAGCAAAATTGGCAAATTAGATGAATAAAATGACAATGCAACAAACACAATAGATGCAACATGTACAACAGATGTCTATTTGTTGCGAACTATGTGGTGACAGTCATATGACTGACATGTGCCCCACGAATCCTGAATTTATATACTATGTGGGGAAACAGAGCAGAGGTCCAATGAATCATCATGCACAATATGGGAACACTTACAACCTAAATTGGAAGAATCATCCCAACTTCTCATGGGGTGGAAATCAGCCGAATCAGAATCATTATAGACCCCAAGGAAATTTCAATCAACCTTAGAAGCCACCTCAACAGGTAGAAGAGAGTACAAATGATTTGTTGAAGAAGTTGTTGCTAGGACCGATTTCAGAAATCTTGAGAGGCAAGTGAGACAACTTGCCCGTGCCCAAAATACCAGACCAGTCGGGGCTCTTCCTAGTGATACTGAGCCTAATCCTAAAGCTCAAGTCAATGCGGTTACCTTGAGAAATGGAAGAGTATTAGAAGAAGTTCCAAAGAAAAAGAAGTATACAACTCATCTTGAAGGAGAATTAGTTCCCAATCCAGTTGAGGAGAATGAGAAAGAGAACAAAGGATCAGAGCCAGTAATTGTGAAAAGGCCACCACCTCTGTTTCCGCAAAGACTGCGGAAGCAAAAAGATGATGCTAAGTACAAGAAATTCTTAGATATTTTGAGCGAAGTGCGTGTGAATTTGCCTTTGGTGGAGGTTTCATTCTCACTAGTTATAACTGCAGATTATGTTTGATGCCACTCACTAGTCACCAATGGCTTTAATTTATACTGCTAGGAGGGACATATTTTTGAGAAATTTTTGTTCACAAACCTCTATACTGGTGCAGGTGCAATGGCTTTCTAATACCCAAAGTATTAAAGAATCTAATGTTTCTACACTCATGGTGGTGTAAAATAACTTTTATTCTATCATTTCACCTAAAAAAAAAGTTACTAATAATCAGAGGCGGACACAGGATTTGAAGGTCGTGGATATACTTTTTGATTCAACCAAAATTTGCTTTGTATATAGGGTAAACCACTATTAATATATCACTATTTTCCAAAAATATATACATATATACATGGAATTTTATCCGAACTTTACGGGTGTCGGTGACCCCTCTACCTATTGCATAGGTTCGCCTCTGCTAATAACTGTTCATAATAAGAGAGCTAAATTTAGCTCATATACCAGAAATTTAACACTATCACTATCAGTGTAATTTAATCCCTTACTACAAGTGATTACTTTATTTTTGAGTTGATAAATGCTGTAAGTGTTATTATAGTCCGTTACATGTTGTATGTGACTTTGACCTTGATGGTGTAGGAAAAACATCTTCTGCCGTCAATGTATATAAGTTGAAACTTTAAGTTAAATTGGTGATATAAAAATAAAACAGGTGATCTCTTACCACGGGTTTGAAAACATAATTATGTAAAGTTGTCATATATTGTCAAGTACCTCTTACAATAGATTTTAGGTGAAATGATAAGTGTAACTTTATGCATATTGTCATTGCATATAAGTCAAATCCGATAATAGGTGTTTGGACAAGATCATGAAAATACTTGTCGCCTAATTAACTTTTGACAAAAAAAGAGTATGTTGAATACAATAGAAATTACTAGAATGCCTTATAGCTTTTTTCAGAAAGATTCCTCGCACGGAGGAAAAGCTCGCATGACTTCTTTTTTGTGGCACTGTATGGCTATTTATCTAAAAGTTTAAGTTGTTAAAGAGAGTGCGCATTTTAGTTTACTTATGTCTTAAACGCATACTTTCATGTGCGAGATTAACTTTTTTTATGGGCCAAGCACGTAAAAATTCTTTGTGATAATGGGTGGCGGTGATACTTGAACCTAGGTTTTGCCTGCTATTATATAATGTTGAATTGTGTGATAATCTCATCTAAAAGTTTAAGTTGTTAAAGATGGTATACTTTCTATCTACTTAATTTTATCTTCAACATTGTTAAGTGTTCTATATTGGTTGAAGATACGAGGAGTTGTCTCCGACAATCGTGATGGTATACTTTCTATTTACTTAATTTTATATTCAGCATTGTCAAGTGTTCTATATTGGTTGAAGCTATGAGTTGTTGTATCCGACAATCCTCGCATCATGAGCAGGTGGTTGGGGATGAGTTAGGTCCGATGTTCATTTTCTTTACACTTTTGTCATGCAAAACACAAGGATAATTTCCTATCTCTTTGAAGCAAGACCTCTAGACTTAAATTATTTGCTCCCTTCTTGCTGCTATCACCAAGCATCTCTCTTTAGCCTTTTGACTTTATAGTAAACGAGAATTGCTACTCCAATA